GCTAAGGAAACTAGTTAGTATCTCTCCTTTCACACTCCAAGCTTGCTAAGGAAACTAGTTAGATCTCCCCTTTCACACTCCAAGCTTGCTAATAAAACTAGTTAGATCTCTCCTTTCACACTCCAAGCTTGCTAAGGAAACTAGTTATATCTCCCCTTTCACACTCCAAGCTTGCTAAGGAAACTAATTAGATCTCCCCTTTCACACTCCAAGCTTGCTAAGGAAACTAGTTAGATCTCTCCTTTCACACTCCGAGCTTGCTAAGGAAACTAGTTAGATCTCCCCTTTCACACTCCAAGCTTGCTAAGGAAATTAGTTAGATTTCCCCTTTCACACTCCAAGCATGCCTTTGTTACTTTTCACTGCTTTTTTTTACTCAAAGACACAAGTTACAAAAAATTAGCCTGAAATTAATTTTTAACCAGCAAAACCTAATTTAGGGTGTAAAAAACAAACAGAGGAATTAGTGATATCTTAATTAACATAAAAGAACACCCAACAGTCTATAACAAAAGGATAATATTGGTAGAAATGAATAAAAACCCTATAACACAAGAGCTTTCAAAAGGTGGACCTTTCTTCAGGGGCAAACTGAAGAAGAAAGGTCCACCTTTCGAAAGTGCTCGGGTTATAAGGTTTTTATTCATTTCTATCACGACTTCTTGAACCTACATGTCTTTCTAACATCACGAAAAGGCTAATATTGATACAGTAACTTTTCCGTTTTTACATGATTCAATTCTGGCTTATATTCAAACAAGCGTAAATTAAGATGCGACATTATTTCAATTGTCTAAATTGTATATCAGCATTCAAACAAAGTCAAATACCCAAGTCTTCCGAGGTGTTATTTTTTGAAGTTGTCCAGTCTGCTTCATCACTATTGTTTCTTGACAGTTCAAAAGAAAGATCTGGTAAGGTATGAGGATGACTAGTTGATACAGCTGCTGCAGGGTATGACGCACGATGGTCCATGTACTTTTTAGTGTTCTTTGGTCGTCGCTGAACCTGAGAGGGGCCTTTAGTCTAATATAATGTAAAGAATAAGAGAAATATTGACCTAGTTGGCTGAAATAGAACTTCAGAATGTTTTTAAAAAGTCTCGATTGGATCTTTTCATTAGTTTCATCCACATGTAACTTGAAAAAAATGATGATACAATTTTAGTTACTGTAATTTTCTGAAATTATAAGACTACACTTGAGATTTATCAATCCAAAATACATAGGCTTGTGTAATGATACGTTTGTTTAGTGTTTCGAGTTTATGTGAATCTTAAATTAATGAAACTTCATACATGTATACTACATACTTTAGTAACTGAAATGGATTCTATATTTTAGATGACTTTCAGAAGTATACATTTTAAAATAGTTTCTAGTTAACTCAATATAATACACCTTTGAAATTTCAAATATGTTTCCAATTTGTAGTTTTCTTAATTGTTATATTCATTTCTTGGCTGTAAGAAACAACTAATCCAGACAGACAATAAATGCTATTCATATACCTGTTTGGTGTATGAACTGTTGCTTTCAGGATCTTTAGTACAATCTTGGATGTCTTGGGATTTTGAAGTCTTGTTATTACTGGTATTTCCCCCATTAACAAGAGATCCGTGACAACTGTTCCTGCCAGTATCATTTGTAGCTTCCCAAGTAAGTCCAGTTTGCATGTTATTTGGATTGTCGCTACTTAAGACTTCACCAAGAGTAAATGTATCTTGCAGAACACTGTTCTGTTTTTCACAGGGATTTTCTTCTTTCAAAACAGGTTTTTGGACATCAGGAACATCTTTGTCTCTTCTAGTAGTTTCCTCTATGTGGTTATCTTGTCCTCCTAGAAGAGCTTCCTCTAGTCTTTCAATGTCTTTTTGTTCTTCATTTTTTTCCCAATGTCCTTTATTTTCATCCCGAGACTTTTTCAAATCTGTCTCTCGTTGCTCACAGGTTACTTCAACGACAGATTTGTCCAAGTCTGCCAGGGAGTTGAAGTAACCTGTGAGCAACGAGAGAAGTCTGCCAGGGATGGACAAATCTGTCTCTCGTTGCTCACAGGTTACTTCAACGTCCCTGGCAGACTTGGAGAAATCCACACCTTTCTCATTACTTATTTCATGGTAATTTTGAGCAGGAAATTGAGTTGGGTAAAATATTTCTGACAGTGACTTGTCAGCAATGGCTGACTGACTATTTTCTTGACTGTCAAAAGGCTCAGAGCTTACCGATCTGAGCTGTGTAGCCGTTACAGTAGTAGCAGATTCAGTAATTGTTGATAAAAGTTGGTGAGAGCTACAAAACAGCAAAGATTCATCAATGAAATATTTGTATCCACAGATATTAATCTATTTCAGTACTTTAGCTATAATAAAATATAAGTTAAGCAGAAAAGTAACATAACTACAGTTGTCAGCAAGCAACTTAGAAATACGATATTCAGCACGTTTGTAAATATATAAAACAATATATATTAAAGTGAGCAACAACCAGTATTTCAATTATGTAACGATGTTGCTTTCTGGAAGTTTAATTTACAAAATTTATGCTTATAACTACAAGAATAACTCGATGATCCCTACAATTTGTCCTCCCCTCCTAAAAAAAATAACAAACAAGAACATATTGACAAAACAAAAACACAGGACCTATATAGTTGCCAATCTACTACTTACAGCGACAACTTGATTATTTTGATATTGTTAACTGATCATTGGTTATCGATAATTGATTATGGTAACTGCTTGTTTTTCACCATACAACTTACTTTTTTTTTGACTGTTTTACTTTTTAATCAATATTACAACACCCAACAGCCTTTTAATATGTGTAGCTGAGTATTAAATAATAATGAGATGTTGCACAAGTTAACGTGCAATATCAGTAAAAATACAGTATTTTATAATCACCAATCCTTCTTGTCATCCTGTTCTGGTTGCATCTTACCCAGGAAAGGTACTGAGTGGCTTTCAGGTGTCACATCCACACTCACGCTGTGCAGTGACACAGAATCTTCACTGGACACAGGGCTAGTGGACAGAGCCTGGGAACCATAACCACTGGACATAACACTTGGTGTTCCAGCCTTTGTCTAAAACAGTAAACATTTTATTCAAAATACTAAAAAATGATGAATAAAGCATAAGTATTTACCTTTTTTTTTATAATTGGTTCTTTTGATGGATGATGGCATTTCACAATATTTTCCATAAACATGTGTTAATTAAATATGCAAATGTTACAACTAAATTTTTGTCCCTTTGACATACAAAGATAGCAACACATTAATCATTTGTAACTATTTATTACTTTCCATGATAATAAACAACTTAGTACACATTGTTCACATTAAACAGAACATACAAAAGTAGCAACACATTAATCATTTGTAGCTATTTATTACTTCCATGATAATAAACAACTTAGTACACATTGTTCACATTAAACAGAACATACAAAAGTAGCAACACATTAATCATTTGTAACTATTTATTACTTTCCATGATAATAAACAACTTAGTACACATTGTTCACATTAAACAGAACATACAAAAGTAGCAACACATTAATCATTTGTAGCTATTTATTACTTTCCATGATAATAAACAACTATTATATTAATAAATATTACCATTGTATGGGGCAAAATTACTTTACTAAATAATAGCACTGTACCTTACAATAACATACTGAGTACTCGGCATAAAGCTATTACTTTACAACAATCCAGCCAAAGATTATCATTGTATGGGGCAAAATTACTTTACTAAATAATAGCACTGTACCTTACAATAACATACTGAGTACTCAGTAAATATTACCATTGTATGGGGCAAAATTACTTTACTAAATAATAGCACAGTACCTTACAATAACATACTGAGTACTTGGCATAAAGCTATTACTTTACAACAATCCAGCCAAAGATTATCATTGTATGGGGCAAAATTACTTTACTAAATAATAGCACTGTACCTTACAATAACATACTGAGTACTCAGTAAATATTATAATTGTACAGGGCAAAATTACTTTACTAAATAATAGCACTGTACCTTACAGTAACATACTGAGTACTCAGTAGAATCTTACCATTGTACAGGGCAAATTACTTTACTAAATAATAGCACTGTACCTTACAGTAACATACTGAGTACTCAGTAGAATCTTACCATTGTACAGGGCAAAATTACTTTACTAAATAATAGCACTGTACCTTACAGTAACATACTGAGTACTCAGTAAATATTACCATTGTACAGGGCAAAATTACTTTACTAAATAATAGCACTGTACCTTACAACAACATACTGAGTACTCAG